TTTTTTTTTTTCAGCTAGCTTACCAACTAATTTTACCAAACACTTTATTATATAATACTCAAAATAATAAATCTCTCTCTCTCTCTCTCTCACTCTCTCTCCTCATTTACTCATACCTTATTACAATATATTATTTTGATTTCTAAATAAGTGATTGTAAAGTTAAGAAAATACAGGAAATGTTATAAACTAACATTTAATTGAAGGAAAAAATATAATGTATATTATTTTAAACTTATAAATTTATTAATTTTCAATTACGTTCTTTTTTGGTATTTTTTAATTTATAATAATGTCCACTGTAAAATATTTTGATTTTTTAATAAATAATTTATCAAACAGTTTTACATCTATTATAATTTATAACAATATACAAATTTTATTTTTCTAAGTGAATTATTTATATTGTTTTTCGATGACTTGCTGGTTTATTGTTATTATTTTAAAAAATATACATTAAATATTTTATTTTTATTATTTTGGTAATAATTTAAATAGATAGTTCAATAAATTATCATTAGCTTGTCATCATTAATAGTACATATTATAAATATTTTTTTTTATTACAAAACTTATAAGTTACAAGACAGTTAGATTACACATTGGTATCAAAATTATAAAAATACTATTTGTAGTTTTTGTGGGCATGTGGTAACCGAGCTACCCGACTCGAGTCGTTCTCAAAGGAAGGTTGTTCGGATCTTCGTTTACTACCTAGTCGTCAAAGTCACGTAACCGAAAAGAAGGTCCTACACATTCTACACGCTTGATGGGGTTGGAATTCACGAAATTACGTTAAGAAAATGATGCAAGATGAAAATTAAGAGAGAAAGATCGAAATTTTGGTCTACCGGAATCCCCATGACTCAAGAAAAAAGAAAAATAAACAAGAGAAAACATGCGAGCAAAGTGATCCTAGGTATTCTAACACGAGCTTTCTACACTAAATCATCACACTTTTAACAAAGTCGAAACCTTTCTAGATAAGCACATATTGAATCCTAACACACGAAGGCAAGCAATAAAAATAGAGCAAAAACCTGAAATCGAGCATCAACACAAAAATAAAAAAAAAAAAACTTGAAGTAATTAGCCCTAAGCAAGGTACTTAATCTCCTATCGCATGCGTAGACGAAAATAGTGCGTAAAACTCGAATCTTGATCGAAAATAAAGTTGCCGGAGTTTTGCCAGAAAAATCGAGTCATGAGTCTCCAACCAAAGCATAAAAAAAAAAAAGAAAATGGAAAGGATTTCCCAACTTAAAAGTTGGGAAATGAGGGTGATATCCAAAATTACAAAGCAAAATGTCTATTTATAGCCACACTACAAACACACACTAGAAACACACACATTTAATGAAATTCTGAAGTTCGCGGGTCTCGAAATAGAGTTCGCAACGAGTTTGGGCATGGAGTAGTACAGAAAAGGGCGTTTGCGGGTCGCCAACGGATGTTCGCCTGCGAGTGTGGTATTGGGTGCTGGAGTGCTTGCGCTTCGCCGGTCGCCAACGTCTGTTCGCCTGCGAGTGTGGTATTGGGTGCTGGAGTGCTTGCGCTTTGCCGGTCGCCAACGTCCGTTCTCCTGCGAGTGTGCAGCTTGTAGAGCGTGGGTTGCCGTTTCACGGCCGTGAACACTATCTCGCAGCGAGTGTTGCTGGTCATGGCTAGGCGTTTCGCTGGGCGCGAGGTGACTTTAGCGTCGAGTGGCTGGGGCCTATCTCACGGCACGTGAACCCTGACTCGCGGCGAGTGCGCCTGGCTTATAGGAAGGTGTTGGAAAACATGGAACCAAACTCATTAATGCTCATAAATGCAAGCACGAGACACGATCTGCACATTGCCATATTTGGCTTGGAAACTAAAGCTGCAAAAATGAAAGCTATCTCCCAGTAGGGTTACAATGAGTGATACCAAAATATATATCCTAAGCTATTAAGATCCTACGGCTATAGATTGATCAAGAAAACAATTCAAAAATCAAAAAGGAATTCCTCCCAACTGCATGTACTATATTCTGCCACCATGCACACGTCAGGTTTGTCTTCATGCGCAGCAAGCTAAACTTTCATTAAGGACTTCATTAATAATGGTATAGGTTAATTAAGGAGACTTCTCATCATCCCCCCTCAAGCCAAAGGAGGAGAAACTTGTAGAAAACGTTTGAGACGACTGAAGGCTTGCAAAGGGAGAGGTTTTGTAAGGACATCAACAATCTGATCAACTGAAGGAACATGATGTACCTTAAGGACTCCCTTGGAAACTTGATCTCTAACAAAGTGAAGATCAATCTCTATGTGTTTGGTTCTTGCATGAAGAACTGAGTTGTTAGCAAGAGAGATTGTACTCATATTATCTATCCAAACAGTAGGTGTGATAGGCATTGGAACTTGAAGTTCTCCAAGTAGGAACTTAATCCAAGTGATTTTTGCAGTTACTTGAGCCAAGCTTCTATACTCAGCTTCTGTGCTGGACCGAGACACGGAGGATTGTTTCTTTGAACTCCAAAAAACAGGATTATTGCCTAAATAGATGCAATTACTAGATATTGACCTTCTATCATCAAGGTCATTACCCCAGTCTGAATCAGAGAACCCAGTGAGATGAGAGCTGGAGTTTCTGGAGAAATGAATACCATGATTTGTAGTACCTGCAAGATATCTAAGTATCCTTTTCACAGCCTTCCAATGAGTATCCATAGGTTGTTGCATGAACTGACTAACTCTATTGACACTATAAGAGATATCAGGCCTGGTAATGCATGCATATTGAAGAGACCCAACTATGCTTCTATAAAATGATGGATTTTCTAGAGGAGATCCACTAGATTTTGATAAGGCAGTAGATGTGGCCATGGGTGTAGGAAGAGGCTTTGCATCTGTTAAGGCACATTTGGCAAGAATGTCCTTAATGTAGGCAGTTTGAGATAACTGAAGACCATTAGAAGTTTTAGAGATTTCAATGCCAAGAAAATGATGAACTGAGCCAAGATCCTTGAGAGTAAAATAAGTGTGAAGCTGTTGAATAACAAGTTGAACTTCTTGCTCACTGGTGCCAGTGATAAGCATGTCATCCACATAGACAAGCAACCACACTGAAGATTTAGGAGAGGTCCTGATATACAAGGAACAATCTGATTTGGAGTTCAAGAAACCAAGTGAGTGAAGAACTTGCTGTAACTTTGTAAACCATGCCCTTGGTTCTTGTCTAAGACCATAGAGAGATTTATGCAGTTTGCAAACTAAAGAAGGAGAGCCAAGAACCTCAAACCCCGGTGGTTGAGTCATGTAAAGATCCTCATCAACTTTGCCATGAAGAAAGGCATTGTTGATGTCAAGTTGCCTCACATGCCAATTATAGATAAGAGCCAAAGATAGAACAATTCTGATTGTTGTGGGCTTAATAACAGGACTGAAGTTTCATAGAAGTCTACTCCTGCTGTTTGACTGTAGCCTTTGGCAACAAGTCTGGCCTTATACCTTGCTATAGATCCATCTGCATGTCTTTTGAGTTTAAAAACCCATTTACAACCAATTACTGACTTGTGAGGAGGAACAGGTACTAAAGACCAGGTTGAATTCTTCATAAGAGCTTTGTATTCCTCATCCATAGCTGCCTTCCATTGAGGATGTTGAAGAGCTTCAGAATAGGAAGTAGGTTCAACTTCCTCAAGGAGCCTGTCTTGGATCTAGTTATCATGTGGTGAGCAGGTTGAGCTGCAGAAGAAGCATTAGTAGCATTTTGTATAGGAGATGAAACTTGTTCAGAGAGAGTATCATTCAATATTGGCAATTCAACAAATAAAGGTATAGTTGAGTTAGAGGAAGGAGAAGAAGGATGTGAGGTTTCAGAAGAAGAAGAAGAATCATGAGTAGAATGATGTGAATGAGAAGATGGTGTATGAACTGAGGATGTAGTATGTGGGATTGGAGAGTGGGAGGGAGATTCAGTTGAGTGAGTAGAATGAGATGGCAAAGGGGAAGTTTGAACTACAGGAGGAGAGATATGAATGAAGGAAATAAGATTATCTTTGTCAGGATAAGGTACTGAGGCTTTGCAGAAGGGAAACTGTTGTTCATCAAAAACAATGTCTCTAGTAACAATGACTTTACCAGATGGAAGAAGAGTTTTATATCCTTTGTGCTTTGAACTGTACCCAAGAAAAGTGGATGGTAAGGATCTAGGTTGAAGTTTATGGGAATTATAAGGCCTCAGGTTAGGATAACAAAGAGAGCCAAAGACCTTGAGAGTGGAATAATTTGGATTGTGGCCATATAGCTTCTCTAATGAAGAAATGAACTGAAGTGCTTTAACAGGAAGCCTGTTGAGAGTGTACACAGCT